ACAGGGAGGGGAGCGCTACACACTGGGGTCAGTTGGGGGGAAATAGGGGAGGGACGGTGGGGGGTGGGGAGCTGGGGAGATATAGCAAGGGGAGAAATGCCAGATGTAGGTGATGGGAAGGAAGGCAGCAGATGACACTGCCATGTGTGTACCTATGCAACAATTTTGCATGTTCTTAACATGTACCCCAAAACCTAAAATGCAATAAAATTAATAAATGGAAAAAAAAATAAAAAAATAAAATAAAATAAAATAAATAAAAATAAAAAAAAAAAACCTTCTTGATTTTAAACTAAACTAACTAGCTTCATTACAAGGGACTATACCAACATCTCTCTACCCACACTGCAAGAGAAACTTCAGAGGCTTGAGCCTTGGGTCCACATTTCTCAAGTCAGAAGGAGCCTTCCAAATTTTTGAGAATGTTCACCTTTAAGAGATATCAATGTAAAGCCAATCAGGGATATTTCTTCCCAGAAGCAGGCAATATCCTAGATAAGGATATCCTAGGTAAACTTTTCTAGTAATAGGATCATGGATCAAGAGTTCTCTGTCTGTTTCCTTGTTTCCTGTGTCATTTTCTGGTTTTGTGAGACAAAATAATGCTATGGTTAGGATTTAGCAATTGGCAGCTTCTGTCAGAAACGTTACAATGCCTAACATATAGTATGGCACTTTAAACCTAACTCCCTACCTGATATTAGAGGTCTTTATGTTCACTCTATAACAAAGTTCACTAGCATTCCAAGTGCAACTGCCTGTCCAAATTGTACATTTAATTCTTTTTCATAAGGTTAGGGTTTTAGATCCACATATTTAGACTCCTTGTTTAAATCTAACAGTAGACAAAACCCACTAAGTTTGGTTAATTTTGCAGTTAAATTATGTAAAAATATGAATAAAAAAGTGAAGGGAAAGATAATTTGACTGTTTGTAGACTAACCTTAATCTTCCACATACCCCTAATTCTCTAATTGTCAATTGAATTTAATTATTTAATAATTTAATGTGAAGCCTTGGTTCATAGTACTAAGGCTTCCCTAGTGTGGACCCCTAATGCACCAGACATCCCACAAGAAACAGTCTGTTGTGTTGCTTCAGGATATATTTCATCTGTGGAGAATATAGTCAACAATCAAGCTCATGAGCAACTCTATATTTCAGTAAGCAGAAAATATGAGACTCATGTGATTCAGGGATTTTAACAATACTATAAACAATCAGAAACTGAACATTGGTCTACACCTCTTAATTTGTACTACAGAGTGTAATTTTTCAGCAGGTGTAAGTCACTCTAAATAGATAACATTGAAAATATTTCTTCTCTGGTTTGGTATAAATGTAAATGAGATGATAATTATAAGTCTGTCTCAAAAATTATTGCTATAGCTGACTCTACTCTAAAGGTTATAATTTCCAGAAAACTTCTCTAGACTGCCTTACTAAAATAAAAATTTTTTTGAATATCATCTTCGGACTATCTGTTGGTTGAATGGTGAAGTATATGTGATAGCTAACGCTTCCTTCTGTATGTAGATAGACACATATGGTATTGTATTTATCTTGTAAATGTTAGTTTCAATAAATTAATACTCAGTCTACTTCATTAAAACAAGTAGATTCCTCTTCTGCCTAATTCTTTGATTCTTTTCATTTTAGTCAGTTTGATACATAAGAGCCTTTGTTGAGGATCATGTTTCAGTCTTTAGTGTTGGTCTCTTGACAGTCAACAAGCAGTCTCTGGGGTGTACTTTATCCTCTTGCATGAAGTCATCTGCTGTGTGTTGAAGAGTCTCACTTTGACTAGAAGAGCAAGAACTTAACATTACTTAATTAACTGACATCATGACTTGTGAATTCCATACTGAGATCAGATAAATTCATTGATGGTTACAGAGAGCGGTGTTAATGCCCAAGATATTGGCCGTTGTTAATCAAGACGGAATCTTGCTCTGTTGCCAGGCTAGAGTGCAGTGGACTGATCTCGGCTCACTGCAATCTCCACCTCCCAAGTTCAAGCCATTCTCCTGCCTCAGCCTCTGGAGTAGCCGGGACTACAGGCATGTGCCACCACGCCCAGCAAATTTTTTGTATTTTTGGTAGAAATGGGGTTTCACCATGTTGGTCAAGATGGTCTCAATCTCTCAACCTCGTGATACACCCACTGCTGGGATTACAAGCATGCACCATCGTGCCTGGTCCCTATATTGGACAATTTCTTAAGACTGAGAGGTTGATCGAAAGAGGCAAATTATTAATTCAAATAAATCAAAAGGTCATTGCCATGAGGCTAACTCTGTGCTACAGACACCAAAATAGGCACAAGCAGACCACTTGAATAGCTCCTTATCTATTCAAGAAATTAAAATCACAATCAAAACTTTCCACAAAGGAATCTCCAGACCCCAGTGATTTCACTTATAATTTTTAATACATATGTAAGAGGAAATGGTCATTATCTTACTCAAACATTTAGAAAAATACAGGAAGGAGCAACATTTCCTACCTTGTTTTATAAATGTAGTATTAAAACCTGATCGAGGCATCGGAAAAAAGTTAAGTTATAGAGCAAATATTTCTTCTAAATGTGCATAAGACTATTTCATATTTCAGAAATACTTCAACAAATCGAATCCACTGATAGAAAAAAAATACAATTAATTTGATGTAAACTCAGGAATGCAAGGTAAACACAGTTAAACACCACATTAACAGAATAAAGGCCTGGCCATAGGAATTAATCAATAGATGCTGGAACTACTTTTCACATTATTTAATATCAACTAATAACAAAGCTTCTAAGCAAAAATAATGGAAGGAAACATTCAGTTGGATAAAATACTTCAATGAAAAGTCTATAACTATCTTTATACAACCTGGTAATATATTAAATATCCTCACACTAGATGGGAAACAAAGCATAGATATCTGCTCAATACTTTCATTCAGCATTGTATTATCAGTGTAGCCAGTGCAATAAAAAATAGAAATAAAACTCACAGACATTTCTTACTTTACCTATTAAATGTATTAAACATTAGGGAATGTAAGAAACAAATTTTAAAACCTGCTAAAACTAAGACAAAATAGCAAGGTTGTAGGAAATAAGGTTCATATTTAAACTTAATCATTATATTAAGTTTAAATTATCAGGCTAATATATCCCAGCAACAAACAGATATGGATTGGAAAATGAGATGTAAGTTTTTGGGCCTTTGCGTCCTGCATTTTGATTGTTTCCTGAGTTCTAGCTGCACTCTTTTCCCTGAATGCTGAGAGACGATCTTATATATTTATAGTAAATACTTTCTAATGATTGACCAATTTGATGTTGTATTAAATTAGATGTTGTTTGTTATATTAAAAAAAGAAGGGAGAGATATTGAATAATATTGACATTTAATGTACAATTTAATATATATTAATATATACTGAAGTATAGATAATAATTAATGCCTTTCATTTTCTAATGGTTAAATGGCAGGCTTTGTGTTTCAAGAAAAAAATCTAGAATATATTCAGCATTTTGGGACAGAAAGAAGACATTTTAGAGATTGGAATAATCTTTTAGATTCCCTTAAATTATTGATTTTAGCACAAAACCTGAAGACAAATTTACTTTGGTTTGTTAGAGCTCTGAAGAAATTCGAGCATTTTACTTTATTTTTTCGTATTTAGCCTTAGCCAAACTGTATTTTTTGTTCATGTATACATGAACAATCCATGTTATAGTGCTATGCTCAGGTTGAAAAGAAGTAACATACCTAACCTGAGCATAATTCAGAAAAGAAGCAATATACAACTCAAGATAGACACTCTTTCAGGTATGATTCATTCCCTGCTAAATTTCATTTCTCCCTTTACTTGTAGTCCCTCCTTCTGTCACGTGGTTCCAAATTTTTAAAATGCAGATGATACAGAAAATAATACTCCTATGCTGCAGGGTAAGAAGGAGGAGGTGAGTTTGTATAGCTCAGAGGACTGGACCCACAAATGCAATTCTAGAAAATATCATGAGCATTTGTCCCCCTTTCTTCTGGTTACCACCCTCACCACTTCATAAGCACATTTATAAAAAGCAAGAAACCACTGCGATGACCCGTAGTTTCTGATTTTACCTAATATTAAGGGACGGAGTACAGAAGGATGTGTTTAATAAGGATCCCTCAAACCAAAAGATAGTTGGGAATAAGAATAGAATAAATTCAAGAAATTGTGTGAACAGAGTGTGCCTATTGTAAACAATAAGAGCAAACCAATGCTCCAGAGCATACCAATTAGGAATTTTCACTAAGAGCGTCTCAAATTTTAATGTGATAACTTAACACCAGAGGATTTGGTTAAAATACATTTTGAATACAATACGTAGGTCTGAGATGCAGAATGTGATTCTGCATTTCTGACAGCCTTCGTGCTAATGCCAATGCTGCTGGATGAAGAGCAACTTATGGGACATGGCCTAGAAAAATAAATGCAGCTCATTTTTCTCCAACGTGAGATTTTTAGCTAAGATACTCAAGACATACTTACAGAGAATACTAAAACTCATCATCAAAATGCAAGTACATTTGAGCCAAAGTTATCGACTTATGGTTTATTAGAAAGTGAAGATATTGCCGTGGTCATGATCATATTTCGTCTCAGGACATTCTTCAAGGCCTGCTTCACATCTTTATTCCGCATACTGTAGATCAATGGATTAAGTACCGGACTGACAAATGTGTAGAACACAGCTATTATTTTAGATTCCTCAACAGTCTTATCTGTTGATGGTCTTACATACATGCAGAAGAGGGTCCCATAAAACAGGGTGACAGCCATCATATGGGAACCACAGGTGGAGAATGCCTTGTGCCTTCCTTCTGCTGATTTGATCCGGAGGATGGTGGCAATAATGAAGGCATAGGACACCAGGATGACGGTGAGGGAGCTGGAGAGGTTGAAGCCAGCCGAGATCAGCATCGCGTGCTTTTTGACATAAGGATCAGAGCAAGAAAGCTTAATGAGTGGTGGGTCAGCACAGTAGAAGTGGTTGATGACATTGGAATTACAGAAGCTCAGGCGGAAGGTCAGGATAGCCTGGAACAGTCCATCTGAGAAGCCATAGACATAGGGAAATGTGGCCAAGCAGATGCAGACTCGCCTGGACATTTTCACACTGTAGCGCAGAGGGTCACATATGGCCACGTAGCGGTCATAGGCCATTGCTGCCAACATGAAAAGCTCAGTGAGGAGAAGGGCAATGAAAATATAGCACTGTGTAAAGCAGCCAGCAAAGGAAATGGTCTTCTTAGATATGATATTAGTTAACATCTGCGGGGTTGCATTTGATGTATAGCACAAATCCACAAAGGCTAAGTTAGTGAGGAAGAAGTACATGGGCATGTGAAGGCGAGAGTCCAGTCTGATTAGCATTATCATGCCCAGGTTGCCTAAGACGGTGATGAGGTAAACAACTAGAAACAACACGAAGAGCAGAGGCTGGAGTTCTGGCCGATCTGTAAGCCCCAGTAAAATAAATTCTGTGATTGCACTGCTATTTATGTTGGACATTTCCTGACAGTTTGCTCTTGGAACTAAAGAAATAAATATAAACAAATACACATACCATGTTAACGTTCATTTGAATTAGTTTTTCTCCACATCTTCATATTTCATCCAAAGTTATCTATTTCTGGGTACTACCATAAACTTTTGTTTTGGTAATTATGTTAGACTCACCATAATTTTGTAAGTCTGCAATGCCATTATGTCATCTGCCTAGGAATTAAGTTACTAATATATTCTTTCTCTATACCTATAGATAAATCTATACCTACACCTCTTTCTATCTATCTGTCTGTCTACCTGTCTATCTATCTATCTATCATCTATCTATCTGATTGAGCTATATCTCTTCTATCTTCCTGCACTTTTTAAAGCCTAATTCTACTCATGCTACATGACCCACCTTAACAGCCACTTCTTTGTGAAGTATTTTTCATTTATTTCTCCTAATATCTGTCACTGAATTAACTCTTACTTCTTTGTTTCCAGAGTATTTTATATTTCTGTAATTTATTCTTTAGCCCCCATTATATCATTATATAGCATGTACTTTCTCCTCACTTAATGGTGTTGAGAGCAGGGACAAAGCGAAGTTCAATTTTTTAATTATACTGCTCAACACATATTTTTAAACTGAATTTATTTAAACGCAAAAAGGAGAGCATGTAAGAATGAATGACTTGCAACTTTTACTCATATATTTATCTCCACGTAGCCTTGCATTTTGCCATGTTCTCAGGAGAATAAAGTGATTATTGAAACTTAGTGTAGAAGCAATATCTTGGGAAGCTTGTTAATTTTTGCAGAAATTCTTATGTGGGGTGCTGGAATCTTCATCTCTAACAAATATCTGTAGGATTCTAATGCAAGTGTTCCCAGATCACAGCTCAAAATGTACAGTCATAATGGCTCAATAAACATATGCCAAATAAATGAACAAAGAACTGTGAAATAAAATAAATTCTCATGTAGTATCTTGAGGATGTTTAGAGCAATGACTTAATGTGTTTAGAAAGAAAAGAAATTAATATTCCACAGTTAGTATTTAATCTTCTAATTACAACTTGTATCTCACAAGAAGTATTACAAATCCCTTTGGCTTTTTACCTCTTTTCACATCAGAATCTTTGCTAATTCTCATTTTCCTTTCTCATTTTCCTTCCTCTCAAGATGTTTTTATTTTTTGCCCATTCTTTCATACTTGAAATTTTTATTGTAGGCTTCCCAATTCTTGTCTCACTTCAAAATGAGTCTCCTCATTTATTTTACTGTAAGTTTTAGAAGGTCTATAAGCAAGACTCTGTGCTGTTGTTACTATTGAGAAAAGCAATGTACAAAAGTATAATAATTGAAACAAGGTCACACTACTAGTGTATACAATCTGAGAATCTGAGATAAGAACTTAAAATTATGTGTTTTAAGAACCTCCTTTATTAGCTGCTGTTGCAATACATATCACCTTTCTAAAGCTCAACTATTTTATAAAATTCCATATATAGACTTGGAAGGCCTTGAGATGTATGATGACAAGGAGTTTCTGGGAACACAGATAGCCATGGCATTCTTGCATAGTGCACCATGATAAATAGGGTTGTGCTAGACACATTCTCCTTACATTTAGGCATGTTCTATTATGTGATTGAGTTGTGCCCTTGAGTACATACCTAAGGAATATCATGTAGAAGCAATGACATATCTTGAGGTTAGGAGCTGGTTAGAAGCCCTTGATTACAGAGTTGCTTCTATAATTTAAAACCTTTGCAACTGAATGAATCACTTTATTTTCCCATGTGTAAATGGAAATAATGATATTTATCTTTCCTCCTCTTATGTCATCTTGGACATCAAACTAGATATTTATGAAAGAAGCATTTACTGATGCTCAACATTTTGTCTGATTGGGCAGTATAAATGCAGGAGCGAACAAACCTTTCAAAAATTGCTGCCTTTTTTGGTTTTCATATTCTAGTGGACAGAGACAGCTATTACGTCAAGTAAGTAAATAACATTCCAAATAACTATTGCAGAGAAAAATTTTAAAAATGTAGTTTTGGGGAAAGGAAGGTCAAGGAAGACCTCATTGAAAAAGTAACATTTGGTTAGGCACAGTGGCTCACGCCTGTAATCCCAGCATTTTGGGGGGCCGAGGCAGGTGGATCACCTGAGGTCAGGAATTCAAGACCAGCCTGGCCAACCTGGTGAAACCCCATCTCTAAAATACAAAAAATCAGCTGGGTGTGATGCCACGTGCCTGTAATCCCAGCTACTCAGGACGCTGAGGCAGCAGAATTGCTCAACTCTGGGGAGGCGGAGGTTGCAGTGAGCGAAGATTACACTACTGCACTCCAGCCTGGGCAGCAGAGTAAGGCTTCATTAAAAATGAAGAGAAAAGAAAAGAAAAAGAAATGTTTATGGCAACAACTGCAGCAGGAAGACTTCTAAGGGTATCATAAGAAGTGTAAACCAAAAATAAAATTCTAAGGCCCCCTAACCATCTAAAGGGACTTTCCCCTCAGCCACGGCTCTTAAAATTTAACCTGAGAGACTGGTTTAGGCCATAAAGAGAAGTGGGGGTCAGACACGCCTCATTATTCCTCTCCAGCATTAACATAACACAGACTTTAAGTTTGGAAATAAACATTTTACAGCCTCCTCTCTGACTGCCTGATAGCTAAAAACTTCAACTGCATGATAAAGCCTTGATCCCCACAACCTCTTATCACAACTGAAACATTCCTTTCTATTGATCCCAGATCTTTAGACAAACCAACTGTCAACCAGAAAATATTTAAATTTACCTACAGCCTGGATGCTCCGTGCCACCATACCCCAACCTGGGTTTTAAGTTGTTCTCAAAATTTACATTGGTATTAAGCCAGTGTAAATCTTACATGTATTGATTGATAGATGTCTCTCTAAAATATATAAAAGCAAGCTGTCATTATGTCATTTGCCTAGGCAATATATTACTAATATATTCTTTCTCTACACCTATAGACCACCTTTGACACACGTCCTCAAGACCTCCTGAGGCTGTGTCACAGGTGCGTTCTCATCATGCCAAAATACATGAGGCCAACAAACATATGAAAAAATGCTCATCATCACTGGTCATCAGAGAAATGCAAATCAAAACTACATTGAGATACCATCGCACGCCAGTTAGAATGGCGATCATTAAAAAATCTGGAGACAACAGATGCTGGAGAGGATGTGGAGAAATAGGAACACTTTTACACTGTTGGTGGGAGTGTAAATTAGTTCAACCATTGTGGAAGACAGTGTGGCCATTCCTCAAGGACCTAGAAATAGAAATTCCATTTGACCCAGCAATCCCATTACTGGGTATATATCCAAAGGATTATAAATCGTTCTACTATAAGGACGTGCACACGAATGTTCATTGCAGCACTGTTTACAATAGCAAAGACCTGGAACCAACCCAAATGCTCATCGATGATAGACTGGACAGGGAAAATGTGGCACATATACACCATGGAATATTATGCAGCCATCAAAAACGATGAGTTTGGGTCCTTTATAGGGACATGAATGAACCTGGAAACCATCATTCTCAGCAAACTGACAGAAGAGCAGAAGATCAAACACCGCATGTTCTCACTCATAGGTGGGTGTTGAACAATGAGAACACATGGATACAGGGAGGGGAGCACTACACACTGGGGTCAGTTGGGGGGAAATAGGGGAGGGACGGTGGGGGGTGGGGAGCAGAAGAGAAATAGCAGGGGGAGAGATGCCAGATGTAGGTGATGGGGAGGAAGGCAGCAAATCACACTTCCACGTGTGTACCTATGCAACAATCTTGCATGTTCTTCACATGTACCCCAAAACCTAAAATGCAATAAAATAAATAAATGGGAAAAAAAAAAAAACTTTCTAAATTAACTGAGACCTGTCTCAGATTTCCTGGGACTACAGAAGGATGAAGGGCAAATACAAGGATATCAGATGTAATTGTTCTTTGGAAACTATCACTGAGTGATATGTGTGTGTGTGTATGCACACACATACACACACACAAACACACACACACATATTTAATGCAAAGTGCAGAAAATCCAGCTAAACTCCCTAAACCACAGACATTTCACTTCATTCTTATTCACTTCAAATCTTACTCACTTCAAGTATTACTCATTTCAAGTTTCTATCAAGAGTATCAATAGCTTTCACCAGAGTACAGTGTCAGTGATTACAACAAAGAAAAATGAGAGAAAAAAATATTAGGATGTGGGAATTTTAGATTTAAAAACTCACAGCAGGAAATTGTACTAGAGGACCTCATTTGCAGAATAACTTATTTATTGCATGTGGCTTAATAACTGCCTGTGAAATCTAAAACAGTTTTGACCCTGAAGCTCAGTGGCTTTTGTAGGATCCAGAAAAACACAATTGAAGTAGAGAAGAAGGGCTCCTAAGTGGGGAGAGGTAAAAAGACTACAGATAGGGTGTATGAAAACCACAGTAGGTCTGCCCTTGTGTCAGGACAGAATAAAAGGTCAACACCTCTTGAATTAGGAACACCTGGGCTTGCTAGGTCAGCATATTGGAAGGTTCTGCTGATAGATGAAGAACCAGAAGAGGAGTAGGTCAAGGACAGGAGAAATTTACAAGTTGTAAAACCTAGAACTGGGAGCTCAGCTACATAATATATTGAATCCAATATTGATACAGGAGTGTGATGGGGAAGTGATGTGGGGTCCCTGGTGAGGCGTCAATTTACAGGCCTCAGCCCATTAACCTAAGTGAGAACAGACACTCCTGTTTTCACACCCCAGTGTGTTTTCCAGTACCACTCTGGCCTGCCACAGTCCCCATCCTGTGCCCATAAAAACCTGAGACCTTAGTGAGCATGGACACAATTGGTTGCATGTTGAGAGGAGCAGAGGAGCACAGCAGCAGACGTCAGCAGAATTCAGCAGACCAATGACCATGAAATAATGCAGATGCTGAAGGGAGTTCAGCTGGGGACAGTCAGAGGAGCATAGGGAG